TCACCCCTGCATTAGTCTACTATTAATGTCAACCCCAATTTAAAAAATGAAACATTATAAACAAATCTGTCCAGTTTTAATCAATTTGACTGTGAGGTGAGATTTTTATAGACCCCTTGCAAATTTTTGTTGAAGAGCAGATCATTGCTTTAAGAAAACCTTATTACGCTTTTATTCAATTTATGGAAAAACCAAATACGCTTTTGAATTTATTCAATATGTTCATACACAGAAATTCTTTTACAAGATTAATTTTTGCAAACCTTCCACAACTTGTTTAAACCTTTAGCTTTATCTTATCTAATTTAAAGCAATCCTTTAACCCTCTAAACTAGGCAAAAATTTACAATCCCATGCCTTCTTATAATATTTTGTTAAAAACACATTTAACTTTCCTTACACACCTTGCAGGTAAATCTATTTTCGGTCATTTCAATAACATGCTATAATGGTAATATTTAGCAATTTTTAATTTTGATGTAAAACCTGGCTATTTTAATTATGTATTAGGTGCAGATAAAGTCTGACTCTTTCCAGCATGGTGGTTGGTTAACTTCATATGTCCCCATGCCTTACCCAACTGTAAAGCAGGCAAGTCAAACAATTTTTAGAAGCCAAAGAGTCAGTGTATGACCGTAAAGCATTTAGCAAGCCCAATACCTGACCTGCATAATTTAGACCACATGTCTACATTTCAAAGACATATTTATTTTATCAACAATCTTTAAAACTGTTTTTATTTGTCAAAGACTCAAGTCATGTGAACTAAATACACTACAGTTATTTTTCTTTCAAAATATTTAAGCACTCATTTTTCTTAAAGCCAATTAATTAGAGCTTTGTAAATTTCTTAATTGGATTATTGGCCTCAGGGTGGAACCCTTCAAGAAACAGAGCTAGGACAGCCTGCAGTTTCTATGGCTTAATAAGCATGCATAGCTGGAAGACAAAAACAGATCCCACAATGTAAGGGTCCCATTACATACCAAATCCTAGATCCCAAAAAGAGGGAGTCAGCCCATCTCCCGTAGGAGTCTTCCAAGTAATTTCCAACTATCTCCTATAACTCAAAATTGTCAGATAACACAACGTAAAACAGAACAAAGCCTTAGATTTTGAGACGGATCTATCTGCTCTGAATTCCTGGGCTTCCATCAAGAAAACAGGTTTTTTCCCAAAGCGAGTCTGTGGCACCTCCTCTGTTTTTCCCAAGGAGTCCCAGACTATCAGAAGTTGTCTTAGGGCCTCTCATGTGTGCACTAAGAGTGGCAAGAGAAAATTGAGAAAAATCATTTAGCAGAGAAGAAAGTACCCTTTTCCAGAAAAACAAGATCCATGAAAAGACATCAAGACCTTTTAAATATACTGGTAGCCTGCATATCTACTTTTAATTAAGCTGATATTAAAATGTCCTTTTAAATCGCATACCACCCAGTATTAGCCATGCCAAATAGCCAATACATCTGGCTTTTCAACTCATGGACTGGCAGAGAATACAGTGTGTTTTACCATTTCTATAACCAGTTTTCACAGAGAGAGAGAAGCCAGAAGTCTGACTGGAAAAAACTTCTACCCTTTTGGCAGCATGTCAGGCTTCTGGGTTCTCTTCCCCCAAGCTATGGAGCCCTATGGACCCTGGAGTCCTGTGAAGGGGAAGCAGACATAGAGATTATCTGCATACACTTCTTGGAGGCTTTGTTCATATTTTCTTATTCTTTTTTGTCTTTGTTGGATTGTGTTAATTCAAAGACCTTGTCTTTGAGCTCTGAAATTCTTTCTTCTACTTGTTCAATTCTATTGCTGAGACTTTCCAGAGCATTTTGTGTCTCTACAAATGTGTCCATTGTTTCCTGTAGTTTTGATTTTGAATTATGCTATCTATTTCCTTGAACATTTCCTGTTTCACATCTTGTATCTTTTTTTTTATTTCCTTACATTGGGCTTTGCCTTTCTTGGGTGGCTCCCTGATTAGCTTTATAACTAACCTCCTGAATTCTTTTTCAGGTAAACCAGGGATTTCCTTAGTTTGGATTCATTGCTGGTGAGCTAGTGTGATTTTAGGGGTGTTAAAGAACTTTGTTTTGTCATATTAAGAGTTGCTTTTCTGGTTCCTTCTTACTTGGGTAGGCTCTGTCAGAAGGAATGTCTAGGGCTGAAGGCTGTTCAGATTCTTTTATCCCATGGGGTGTTCCCTTGTTGTAGTACTCTCCCCCTTTTCCTAATGAGGTAGCTTCCTGAGAGCCAAGCTGTAGTATTATCTTTCTTCTGGATCTAGCTACCCAGCAAGTCAGTCAGGCTTTGGATTGGTATTGGCATTCATCTGCACAGAGTCCTGTGATGTGAACCATCTGTGGGTCTCTTAGCCATGTATATCAGCACCTGTTCTGGTGGAGGTGGTAGGAGGGTGAAATGGACAACGGACTGTGAGGGTTCTTAGATTTGGTGGCTTAATGCACTATTTTGTGCTGATTAGCCTCCTGCCAAGAGATTGCAGTTTCCAGTGAGCATCAACTGTGGTAGTATAGGGAAGAACAGGCAGTGGGTGGGGCCCTAGAACTCCCAAGAGTATATGCTCTTTGTCTTCAGTTACCAGGGTGGGTAGGGAAGGACTATTGGGTGGGGACTAGGCGTGTCTGAGCTCAGACTCCTTGGGTGGGTCTTGCTGCGGCTGAGTATTTGGGTTGTATCCCATGTCCTGCAGGAGCAATTGCTTCCTTCACGGGGTTTGTGGGTCTTCTCAGGTTTCTTTATTTGTTCTGGAGCAAAAATCCATGATTCAAGCCTCCACATGTTGCTCTGTCTGTCCGAGTCAGAGTTGCAGTCTAGTCTTATCTCCTGTCCACCGTGATCCCTCTCAATTCAGCATTCAGGCTTTAAACTGTCTTTGGTTTGAAGGTCAGGTTACACCAGGGACCTGCCTCTACCTGCCTCCTGCCACTATCAAGATTATCATGTGGGTTTTTAAAATTCTATTGATATGGCATACTATATTAATGTTCATATATTAAGCCAATCTTGGATTCCTGGAATAAATTCCACTTGGTCTTAGTGTCCAATTATTTTTATATGTTGTTGGATTTCATTTTAATATTTTGTTGGATTTGTCTGTTCATATTCATGTGATATTGGTCTGTAGTTTTCTTGTGATGTTTGTTATTTTTTCTTCAAATATTTAGTAAAATTTAGTAGTGAGCCACCTGGGGCGTATGATGTTTTACTGCTTATTTAATATTTTTGCTTTGCTTGTTAAAGGTCTGTTCAGATTGCCTGATCTTAAGTGGGGTTTGGTAGTTTGTGTCTTTCTAGGAATGTGTCCATTTCATCTAAGTTACCTAATGTATTGACATGCAATTTTTCATACTATTTCTTTATAATCCTTTGTTATTTCTGTAAGATCTCTACTAATTTTTTTTAAATTTCTGATTCTAGTAATTTGAGTCTTCTCTCTTTTTCCTAGCCTTGCTACAGTTTTGTCAATTTTAAAAAATCTTTTTAGTTTTTGGTTCTATTGCTTTTCTATTGTGCTTTTCAATATTTGTTTCATTAATTTCCATTCTAATATTTATTATTTTCTTCTGATTTCTTTAGGTTTAGTTTACTCTTTTTCTAACATAAAACTAGGTTATTGATTTGAAATTTTTCTTCCTTACTATATACATGTGCAGCTAGACATTTACCACTAAACACTGCTTCAGCTTTATTCATAAATTTTGATATGTCTTCATTTTCATTTATGTCAAGGTATTTTTTAATTTCCCTTTTGATTTACTCTTTGATCCATTGGTTATTTAGTTGTTTGCTGCTCAATGTCCATACGCTTGTGAGTTTTCCAGATTTTTTCCTGTTGATTACCATCTTAGTCCAATTTGTGCTGCCATAACAAAATACTTGAGACTGGGTATTTCATAACAAACAGAAATTTATTTAGCATAGGTCTAGACCAGGGCTGGGAAATTAAAGAATAAGGGGACAGCATCTGGCAGAACCCTTTTGTGCTGCATTATCCCATGGTAGGAGGTAGAAAGGCAAGACAGAGCAAGAGGCCAAACCTGCCCTTTCATAACAGTACTCCTCCTGTGATAATGAACATATTTCTGTTATAATGGCATTAATCCATTAATGAGCACACAACTCAAATGACCTAAACACCTCTTAAAGTTCCCACCTCCCAATACCTTCAAAATGGCAGTTAACTTTTAGCATGAGTTTTGGAGTGAACAAACATTCAAACTGTATCAATTAGTAATTTCATTCTATTGTGTTGGAGAAAATAATTTATATATTATATCCATTTAAATTTAGTGAGGTTTGCTTTATAGCCTAGCATATGGTGGTGTATCCTAGAGAATGTTCTATGAGCAATTGAGAAGAATGTGTACTTTCTTGTTGGGTGGAGTTTTACAGATGTCTGTTAGATCTAGCTGTTTATAGTGTTAAATCTTTTATTTACTGGTTGATATTCTGCTTATTCTATTCATTATAGCAAGTGAAATATTGAAGTTTCCAACTCTTTTTTCTGTCAGTTGTGCTTTGCATATTTTAATGTTTTGTTGTTGGTGAATATATATTTGTAATTGTTAGGTTTTCCTTATAAATTTACCTTTTCATAGTTATAAAATGCCTCTAGCAATTTTTGGTTATAAGTCTATTTTGTATGAGACTAGTATAGCCACTTCAGCTTTCTTGTGGCTGCTGTTTGCATGTGTACCTTTTCTCATCCTTTTACTGTTAATTTTGAGTAAAAGGTTGTCTCCTGTGGACAGCATATGGTTGGGTCTTATTTTTTATTTGTTTGTTTGCTTGTTTTTATACAGTTTTTCTGACAATCTCTGCCTTTTTAATGAATTGTTTAATTCATTCATGTTTAATAATATTATTATATAGTTTGACTTACTTCTGCCAATTTACTTTCTGTTTTCTATGTGTCTCATGTCTTTTTATTCCTCTCTTCGGTCTTAGTCTTTCTTTTACATTAAGCGAATGTATTCTTTTTTTTTATTAATTTTTTTAAGTTTATTTGATATATTTGACGATCAGCGATTAGTTCTCATCCACATTGACTGTCTGTAGATTTTTGAAAGTGGTAACGGGTACATAGGTAACCAAAGTATAGAGCTTATTTGGTGAATCTTCATCCTCATTACGTTTTCTGGACAACCGCACACGGATTCAGTATGGGACATTTCTTATTCCTTTGGCCCAGACAGCTTTGTTGAGCCTGGTATCAATGCGCACATCTGGAGTTCCCATCTCCTTCATAGCAAATTTCCGAATCTCTTTGAGTGCCCGAGGGGCACACTTCTTGAAGCCCACTCCATGGATGCGCTTGTGAATGTTGATGGCAGAACGGCCCTTTTTCTTCTCGCCACCCTTCTTTGCAGGAGCCATTCTGCCGGGTCCGAGGTGGAAAGGAAGAGCGCGAGGAATTGTGCTAAGCGAATATTTTCTAATTCAGCATTTAAAAGATCTTTAATGAGTCTCTATGTTTTTTAGCTTTTTTTTTTCTAATGGTTGCTCTACAACTTATCGTATGTTTTAACTTATCAGAGTCCACTCTAGAGCTATATTAATTCCAATGAGATAAAGAAATGTAATTCATGTATCTCTATTCCATTTCCCTCCTTTTAATTATATATATTGCATCTTTTGCTGTTATAAACCCAATAGTACATTGTTGTAATCATTACTTTGGCATCTATACAGCAGTCCAGTACATCTTTGCTCCCACTCATTTTTCTTGTGTTGTTGTTATTAACACATACTCAACAGAGTGCAGAGTAATCCCAGCACCCTGGGAGGTTGAGGCGGGTGGATCACCTGAGGTCAGGAGTTCAAGACCAGCCTGGCCAACATGATGAAACCCCATCTCTACTAAAAATACAAAATGAACACACTCTATATTCCTATATGTTATAGAAATATTACATTATACCAACATATTATATACATACTCTCTTACACCACTGTTTTGTAAATCAGTTAAGGAAAATGCATTTATAGTCTTATAATTATATAATTATCTTTACCTTTACTGGTGCTCTTTGCTTTTTCTGTGGATCCAAGTTACCATCTGGCATATTCACTTGGTTCTTAAAAAAGAAATTACCAGATAAATTGAAAAATGGCCTACTAGAAGCAGCTCCCATTGATAGCTCCCACTGAGAAGAATGAAAATGGTGAGTGAATTCTGCACCTTCACTGAGGTACCCACGTTCTCTCATTGAGACTGACTGGGTGGTTGGTGCAACCCATGGAAAGCAAGGAAAAGCAGAGTGGAGCAATGGCCCACCCAGGAGCCCCACGGGGGAAGGGAAGCTCCCATCCCCAGCGAAAGGAGGCGGTGAGTGATTGTGCTACCTGCCTGGGAAACCATGCTTTTTCCACAGATCTGTGCAACTCACAGATCAGGAAATCCCTTCGTGATCCCAAATCACCAGGGCCTTTGGTCCCAAGCACAGAGCTGTGCAGATGGTCAGGTTGCAGCCAGTGGCAGCTTGCTGGAGACTGCCAACCACAACCGAGTACTTAGGGGGAGGGGCGGCCACCATCACCGCAGCTCTGGTTTTGCTGTTTTCCCCTGCTGGTGCCGGAAAGACTGGGTGGTTTGAACGAGGAGGAATTTCCCACAGCACAGCACAGCAACTGTGGCAGATCCAATTAATGAATTGCCAGACTGCCGCTTTAGGTGGGACCCAGATCCATTCCCCATCACTGGGCTGGGCCTCCCTGTGGGAATTTCAGCAACTCCAGTAAGAGGTTTATGAACAGAACTCTGATCTCCCTGGGATGGAGTCCCTAGTGGGAGGGGCAGCTGTGATCTCCACAACTCAGCAGACTTAGTCTTTCCTGCTTGCCGGTTCTGAAGAGGTGGGGCAGTCTGAACAAGGAGGAGTCCCCCCAGTGCAGCACACCCACACCACCAAGAGGCAGCCAAACCGCTTCTTTAAGCAGGACCCAGATTTCATGCCTCCTGACTGGGTGAGCTTCCCCCAACATGTGTTGCCAGGCACATTATATAGGAGCGTTCCCACCAGCATCAGGTTTGTGTCCCTTTGGGATGGAGTTTCCAGAGGAAGGATCAGGCAGCCATCTTTGCTGTTCTACAACTTCCACTGGTGACACCTCCAGGTGCAGGAGGGACCCAGGTGAATACAGTCTGGAGTAGACCCGCAGCAAACTGTAGCAACCCTACAGAAGAGGCTGTCAAAAACAGAAAACAACATCAACAAAAAGACCCCATAAAACCCCTCCAAAGGTCAGCAGCCTCAAAAATCAAAGGTAGATAAGCTCACAAAGATGAGAAAAAAATCAATGCAAAAACGTTGAAAACTCAAAAAGCCTCTTCTCCTCCAAATGATTGCAGCATGTTTCCAGTGAGGGCACAAAACTGGGCTGAGGCTGAAATGGATGAACTGACAGAAGTAGGCTTCAGAAGGTGGGTGATAATGAACTTTGCTGAGCTACGCTAAAGGAGTTATGTTTTAACCCCGTGCAAATAAGCTAAGAACCATGATAAAACATTACAGGAGCTGTTAACAAGAATAACCAGTTTACAGAAGAACATAATGATCTGATGGAGCTGAAAAACACATCATAAGAACTTCATAATGCAACCACAAATATCAATAGCCAAATAGACTAAGTGGAGGAAAGAATTGTACAGCTTGAAGACTGTCTTGCTGAAATAAGACAGGCAGACAAGATTAAAGAAAAAAAAAATGAAAAGGAGTGAACAAAACTTCTGAGAACTATGGGATTATGTAAAAAGACTGAACCTACAACTGATTGGGGTACCTGGAAGAGATGGGGAGAACGGAACCAAGTTGGAAAGCATAGTTCAGGGTATCATCCAGAACTTCCCCAAACTAGCGAGACAGGCCAACATTCAAATTAAGGAAATCCAGAGAACCCCAGCAAAATATACTTCATGAGACCAACCCCAAGACATATAATCATCATATTCTCCAAGGTCAAAATTAAGGAAAAAATGTTAAGGGCAGGCCAGGCACAGTGGCTCACAAAGTCCTGTAATCACAGCATTTTGGGAGGCCGAAGCGGGAGGATCATGAGGTCAGGAGATCAAAACAATCCTGGTCAACATGGTGAAACCCTGTCTCTACTAAAAATACAAAAATTAGCCAGGCATGGTGATGAGTGCCTGTAATCCCAGCTATTCAAGAGGCAGGAGAATCACTTGAACCCAGAAGGTGGAGGTTGCAGTGAGCCGAGACTGCGCCAGTGCACTCCAGTCTGGCAACAGAGACTCCATCTCAACAACAACAAGAAAAAGAAATACAAACAACCAACAGAGAACACTATACACATCTCTATGCACATAAACTGGAAAATCTATGAGAAACTGATAAATTCCTGGATACATAGACCCTTCCAAGTCTGAACCACAAAGCAGTTGAATCCCTGAATAAACCAATAATGAGTTCTGATATTGATGCAGTAATAGCCTATCAACAACAACAACAGCAACCAAAAGCCCAGGACCAGAAGGATTTACAGCTGAATTCTACCAGAGGTACAAAGAGGAGCAGGTACCATTTCTTCTGAAACTATTCCAAACAATTGAAAAGGAGGGACTACTTCCTAACTCATTTTATGAGGCTAGCATCATCCTGATACCAAAACATGGCAGAGATTAAAAAAAAAAAAAAAAGAAAAAAAACTTCAGGCCAATATGACTGATGAACATTCATGCAAAAATCCTCAACAGAAGACTCGCAAACCAAATCCAGCAGCACATCAACAAGCTTATCCACCATGATCAAGTCAGCTGGGATGCAAGGCTCGTTCAACATATGCAAATCAATAAACTTAATTCATCACATAAACATAACTAAAGACAAAAACCACATGATTAAATCAATAGACACAGAAAAGGCCTTCAATAAAATTCAACATCCCTTCATGTTAAAACTCTCAATAAACTGGGTATTGAAGAAACATACCTCAAAATAATAAGAGCCATTTGTGACAGATCCACGGCCAATATCATACTAAATGGGCAAAATCTGGAAGCATTCCCCTTGAAAACCAGCACAAGACAAGGATCCCCCCTCTCACCCCTCCTATTCAACATAATATTGGAAATTCTGGGCAAGGAATCAGGCAAGAGAAAGAAGTAATGGGTATTCAAATAGGAAGAAAGGAAGTCAAATCGTCTCTCTTTGCAGATGACATGCTCTTACATCTAGAAAACCTCATTGTCTCAGCCCAAAAGTTTCTTAAACTGATAAGCAAATTCAGCAAAGTCTCAGGATACAAAACCAATGCGTAAAAGTTACAAGAATTCCTGTATACCAACAGACAAGGTAGGGAGCCAAATCATAAGTGAACTCCCATTCACAATTGCTAAAAACAGAATAAAATGCCTAGGAATACAGCTAACAAGGGAAGTGAAGGACTTCTTTGAGGAGAACTACAAACCACTGCTCAAGGAAATCAAAGAGGACTCAAACAAATGGAAAAACATTCCATGCTCATGGATAGGAAGAATCAATATCATGAAAATGGCCATACTCCCCCAAAGTAGTTTATAGATTCAGTACTATTACCATTAGACTACCATTGACATTAACAAAATCAGAAAAAAAAGTATTTTAAAATTGATATGGAGCCAAAAAAATCCCATATAGCCAAGACAATTCTAAACAAAAAGAACAAAGTTGGAGGCATCATGCTACCTGACTTCAAGCTATACAACAAGGCTACAGTAACTAAAACAGCATGGTACTGGTACAAAAACAGACACATAGAACAATGGAATAGGATAGAGAATGCAGAAATAAGACCACACATCTACAACCATCTGATCTTTGACAAACATGACAAAAAACAAGCAATGAAAAAAGGATTCCCTATTTAATAAATGGTGCTGGGAGAACTGGCTAGCCATATGCAGAAAACTGAAAGTGGACCGCTTCCTTACACCTTATGCAAAAATTAACTCATGATGGATTAAAGACTTAAATGTAGAACCCAAAACTGTAAAAACCCTAGAAGAAAATCTAGGCAATACCATTCAGGACATAGGCACGAGCAAAGGTTTCATAACCAAAACATCAAAAGAAATTGCAACAAAAGCAAAAAAAAAAAAAAAAAAAAATTGACAAATGGGATCTAATTAAACTGAAGAGCTTCAGCATAGTGAAAGAAACTATCATCAGAGTGAACAGACAACTTATAGCATGGGAGAAAATTTTTGCAATCTATCCATCTGACAAAGGGCCAACATCCAGAATCTACAAGGAGCTTAAACAAATTAACAAGAAAAAAACAAACTCATTAAAAAGTGGGCAAAGGACATGAAAAAATGGCTCTCAAAGACATTTATGCAGTCAACAAATATATTTTAAAAAAGCTCAATATCACTGATCATTAGAGAAACACAT